GCTCTCTCTAATCGATCATCCGACAGTCGATCATCACTTGCTAATTTGTGGTCTAGAGGAATGAGTTCGACACGCCGGTTGGGTGGAAGAAATGCAAAATATGTTCGGACTTTGGTGAGGAAACCCCTTAAAATAGAATGGCAAGCCAATTCAGAAAGCAGCGTGAAGACTAACTGAGGCCTCTTCCTTGTTAGTTAGTTAGTATGGGAAGGCCCACGCGTCTGACGTGCGATGACAAAAGCAGATTTCACCACAGAACTTGGCTTCGTGTCTTCTGTCTGGGGAAGGGAGGGGCCACTGGCCCAGAAGAACGAAATTCGTGGTTTCACTTACTTTCGGATTTCGGGTACGTGGAACAGCGTGTTCAAACCTTCATTCTTTTACGTCCATTTTAATATTATCCCACCACGTACAAGTGGATGTCCAAGTCTTCTCCTCCCTTCTGATTTCCGACTGAAATTTTACATATATTTATCATCTCGTCGACGCGTGCTACATGCACAACCTCCTCCTGCCCCTCCCCCACCCCGGGCGATGCGCCTACGGTGAGCGTGAAGCAACCATCAGCTTCACGTTCCGAGCTGCTTTTACCTCGCTGACAGACGCAGCTGACGAAAACAAAGCTACTTGTGCCGGGATTCGAAGTGGACAAGTAATCGATCTGCAGGCGCACACACGACAAAAGGTTAGAAGGTCACAAAATAGGGCCCAGGACAAAGAACGCGCTGTCTCCTCCACGGCGACGCACAGTGGGGGATGTTTATACTCCATCGGGCGATAGATCACAACATCCGAGCAACAGCACGTTCAGACAACTGACGGACAAACAAACAGATATGGCAGCGCGAACTCCGAGGAACGCGAGCGACCGGCACGTCCAGGCGACTCCGTCCGGACGCTCGGCTTCACTCACCTGATGCTGTCCTCTTCGGTGACTGCCTCGCCTCAGACTGGACGGACGGTCAGAGCGCGGTCGGCAGCGAAAGGTCCGCGGGGGTGGGGCGAAGGTCACGCGGGAAGAGGGAGATCCGACTTCAGAACTGATCAGAAACAAAAGAAACATCCAAGGCCTCGGCATCTTTCCAGCGACTGGCGTTTTAATTTGGGTCAGCCCCCCCTGGAATTTTCGGCGACGAGAAGGACCGGGAATAGCTCAGGCGGGCTCTTCCCCGGGTGACTGCAACCGAGATTCGCGGTGCACTCACATGTCACCCCCTCGGCACTGAGCCCGAGACGGGACACGAACGCACGACCCAAAACAAAACAGTTCCGCCCTTGAACTCGGAGTGCCTCTGGCGAGGAGAACAGAGGGCGGGTTTCAATCAGGGCTACTCAACCGTTCCAAGATCCAGGGGCGCAGAGTTACAAAACAAGGCCAGTCGATTGTACGGCGTGTGACAAATACCACTGAATCAGCCCCAGTGTCGCAAACGCCGTCCAGTCGTCACCGACTTTCCCCATTCGATGCTACGTGAAATCTGTCCGTTGCCTTTGTCCACGAGTATGAGGCGTCTCAGTTCCATAAAAGACGTTCGTCACTGCCCACAGCGACAGGAATTTCCACATTCTGACACACGGACAAAGTGGGCTCTCCGATGTCATCAGACAGAGCGAAACAGTGCGCCGCGAGTTGAGAAACCCTGGCGTCAGCGGTCGCCACTTTGTTTCACAATCTGCGTAAGACGGCAAAAAAAGGTTGCAGGGCCCTGTCGTGGCCAATTTAAGGTCTTATCACAGTCTTTCCAGGGTTAAGAGGGGAAAGCTGACGGTCCGAACCCCTGGCAGACTACTCTAAGACTGCATCGATTCGCCCTGAAGATGGAGACAGTATGTTTCTGCGAAACATACGCATCTACCACGCGGAGTCAAAACCCAGTGAGCACCTGAAATCTCTCGTTCTGAGGCAACATCCGATCTCAGCTGGTCGTCCGTTATACCCCGCAGATAAGAGAGTGTACAATGGCGTCTGGCGTGTGTTCGAGAACATCAACGAAGAGCCTTGATTGTCCAGAAATTTCACGGGGCTGAGAGCGAAATGAAAGACGAGGCGACCTTCATCTAAGGCCGGGTGCACACGAGCGGGAAAATGTCGCGCGAGGAAACCCGTGACAGTGCACACGTAGCGTCATCGCTGCGAGCACGCCGAAAAACTCTCACCAGTACTAGATTGGATGGCAACCAAAAAAATGGATGTGTACAGAAGAAAACGTGTAGTTTTGCCTATTTCGTTTATGAATACATCCTTAAAAAAACCCAATAGGAAGTATTGGACATACCCGTTGGTTAGTTCACGACTGTTCGTGACAGTGTGTACAGATTTAAGAGAAGATGAAAGTAAATTTCATAATTATTTTCGTATGAGCTTAAAGTCGTTAGATGAGCTAGCAGCAAAACTGGATGTATCCATCAAAAGTAAAGATTCTGCGATAAGGCTTGCAATACCTCCTCCATGACTGGAAGGCGGTAGCCAACCACGTGTGCACTGCCCAATGCTCTCACACAGATCGGCGAACTCGCTGCGAAGCAGCAGTGGTTGGCGAACGCAAATTGCTCGCCGCGTCCTCGCGGCGTCACCGCCATAGTGTGCGTGGCTCCATTGCTTCACATGTACTGCTAAAACGAGCGAGAAAATGACGCGGCGAGCTCGCCAAAATAACTCGCTCGTGTGCATCGAGCCTAAACCCCGACAAAAAGGAAAAAGCTGCTGCTGTTTCTTATTTTCGTTGTTTCAGAGAAATCCACGATGTTCGCCTTCGCATTGACCTTGGTTCGAGGTGCGGTTCATCAACACGAAACCTCGGACTGCGAGAGCCAAGCGACGGACGGAACTGAAAGGCGAACGAGAAATTCAATGCGGCCGTTCCAGTGGCTGCCCCTTCGGATTTTAATTCAGGGATGGCTCAGGACGTGTTTGAACTGACACAAAGCCTCACAACAAGATTTTAGTATGTAAAAGAAATGACGAATGCGGACAGATTATTTTCGACTTAAATGTTGGTAAAACAAACTTCATGCAATTTGTATCTCAACAAAAACCACAACTAATATTCATATAAGCAACAATGACGAAATGCAAGCAAACGCTACAAGTTCAAGATGTTGGTCTTCTTCTGCGCAGAAGTGGACTTCCAGGCAGAAACTAGTTTCTCGGGGGCTGATGCAGTTAGGTTCTTTCGAAACGTCGAAATATTCCTACAAATTCGCACGAAAGACCGAAACATCTTTATCCGTGACAACTTCAAATCTCCCGATAAAATACGTAGAAACAGAAGTCTCGTGCCGTCCGAATCCATCACAGAAACTGCGGGAAAGATCGACTATGGCTTATAATCGAAAAGTAAAGTAGTGCGAGAACAATCGATAGTTAACAATGTGCTATCGATAGCGCCTATGACTGATCTAGGACAGGAAGAATACGTCGCTGCTTTTAACAGTGACGAATCAAATGCGCACTTTTTGTTACGAAGAATGACTGGCAGCGAGCGAGGACCCGCGGACGCCAACTTCTATTCGGAGGATTCTGGATCGAACCCTGACTGAGTGAGGTCTTCGCCAGACCCTGCAGAGCACATGACACGCTCAGATGCCTCCGGGCAGAGGCGCGCCACAATTCCTTGCATCGACACACAAACATGGCGACTGAGCGCTGAGATTGTACAAGGTCAGGTCAAGAAGGCAGACAGACAGACAGACCTTCCTAAAAGACGTCAAGAATTGTAGCAAACGTCACCATTTTTATTTTAAAAAATTGCGATGGCGCGAAAGCTGATAGACCACCAGCAGCTTCTGAAGAAGGGCCCTGATCCGTGTAATTAGTGTTTACACGCCTTAACACGCCTTTGGGACAAAGTTGGAAAGATTCCAAATTAATTCAATGCCAGGATTATGTAAAAATATCGACTTCCTTGTTGAAAGCATGTACCAGAACCTTGCACTATTTTTTTCTCGGTATCCATGGCAATGACAGTCACGGCCAGACCGCGATTAGAACGTGACTTATCAATCGCTCCGAAACAAAAGACTGCTCAATTTTTAAGGCCACGCTCAAGCAGCACCGGAGGAGACAGGACAAAAGACCAGTTCCGTTTGGAGGGCGAGTCGAACTGGCTGCGACCTGCAATACCAGAGGCACTGGCGCAGTCCCTCAGAAGCCCATTCTCTCTTACCGAAACGTTCGGGGTTACCTAACCTAACGCCAAAAGTCGCCATTACACGATCCGGTTGATGAGATTTTCTGTAATTACCCGCATTACAAGGCGACACTCACACGAGGCTCAGCGGGCTGCAGCCAACGCCTTTGAACGGGAGAGGCGCATCGTGGGAAACAAAAGACTTCAGTCATGCGCTCGACCGAAGTCTGTCACGAAAGAGATTCGATGCACAAGCTGAACTTCAGGGGGTCAGGTACTTTTTGCTGTCTCAAGAAGCCCTCGAACTGCAAATGAGGGCAGAAATGATGCAGGTGGTTATGAAATATGCCCAACCAATTCTCCCGCCCGCCCCATTTTGTTCAGTGACACGATCTAGACGTGCCGCGAATTGGCAAAACACGAAATTTTGTAGGGGTGACCGACATTTCCCGGCCTGCCCGCGTCCTTTTGCTGTTTGGATATGGGAGAGAGAGAGATGTGAGAACTAAACTGTAGAGTTTTTCATCTTCTCACAGCTGTGTCTCTCTCACAAAAGGAGCCCTTTAAGGTATGGAACAACTCGTCAAATGATGCAATTGACATTCGGAAGTAATTAAAAAAACCTATTATCATCTTCCCTCAGTTCACTGTACAATGAATAAAAACTGCCGTGTGTAAAGTCTAGCACCAAAAATAGGACGCGTCCACATTCTCCTATTTCTTCGCTTTTGCAAAGCCAACACAACCAAAGCAACGAATCCACTTAAAATGTGTTGCTGGGGGGACACGCAATCCGAACTCTGAACTGCATACCGACTCAGCGAGCCCCTCGGTTGAGCGGCGCACGTGTGAAAGCTGAGACCCTCGAGGGCCGCTGGCCGCGTGATCAGCTGACGAGCATAAACACTTCGGTTGTTGGTTCGCGATTATCAAAACGAAACTAAGGCAAAGTCTGTGACTCTCCAAATGAGTGCATTACTAGGCTTGTGCTGTCAAGACTCGGTCGCCAGGGCCTCGTTGCTGACAAGTGTCCGTCTCGCACACAAACCAAGTCCTGGAACCGGTTCTACTAAAAAATAAAAATAAAATAAAAAATGTTTCCACTCCTGACGATGACCAGGCAAGTTCTGGGGACCACCCCCATGATGCTTATGGTACAATGCGTGGAGCCAAGCCTCCACTTCCGTGTGCGGCTTATTTGGAGCAAAGCAGTGCGTGATCTGACGTCAGGGTCCCAGCATCGACTCTTCTTTCGAAATCCGTTGTGAGCAACGGGCAGTCGACCTTGAGGACGGGCGGTGACATCAGGCGGCAGAAATGCGTGCGGTCGCCTTCTGACTTCTCCTCTGATATTCGAGGAAATGGAGCCGAAACCGCTGACCGCGCTACATTTCCTTTTCACTTTCTGGAATACCCGATTTTTTTTCCGCTTGAGACGACTTTGGAGCGTAGTTGTCCTCGCCTTCCAATCGCCATAAACATCAACTTGACCGTGAACATTACGTAACTTAAAGAATCGGGATAAAAACGCGAATGTCGAGCCAAGGATTAACCCCACATTTCGCATTTGGAGCTCGAAGTTTAAGTAAAATAACATTCAAAGATTCGGTCTCCATGACAACGAACCGCCAATCAACGCCACTTGAGAAAAGAATCTTTGTTTATTCTGCGACTCACACTCGAACACACTCCGTGGCCAAACTGAAATTCTGTGACAGAAAGCTGGCGGTAGACATAGTTACCACTTCCACGAGAAAGTCCACTGCCCTCGTCCCTCGAGCGAGCCAAGTGGTCACACACAAAGACGCCTCTCTCAGTCAACCGTTTTACCTTTGAATAACGTTTATAAAATCACGGCACACTCGACGGAAACTGTAAGACGTATGGTAAATTCTTCACACGCCAATAACTCGAGACCTTTGTAAGATAGAGAATATAATGTAAATTAAAGAGTAAATAAAGGTTTTTTCTACGTGATGTTTACTTTATTCTATAGTGCATATACACGTAATAACCAACCCTCGTTCCTTAATTTCAACCGCTTGCCACGTCTAAAGCGTAAGAGTTAGATCTGGACATATTGCGAGTGAAATACGTAAATAAACACGAGCTTTTCAAATTTGCAAACAGATTTCAGCTAACTCTTACGGTTTAGGAGTTTTGGCCATTTATTTGGTAACAAAGAACGGTTCTAGAGTGAGTGTGTTGACTACATGACGCAACACATAGACAAGATGTCGGCGGATGACGTCACGTATAGGTAAGACGTAAAGGTATACATTAATGTGTAAATAAAATTTTATTTCGGTACAAATATACTTCTACAGTTAAACGTTATTCAACGTTAACTAGGGAACCGTGGTTCCACTGTCAATTTTTTTTAAATTTATTTTTGCTTTTGTTTTTTGTAATGTCGCAATCCGTCACACTTCGTGTAGCAAGCGCGTTCTCTTGTGTTGGTACGCCTGCAGGAATTAGAACAACACACGAAGGTCGCTCTTGTCGGTTATCTGAAGGAGCTGGTTCGGAATCTGACTTTAGAAAGTTGTCCCTCAGCCACTTGGCCGTATCGTTTGGGAGTTCCTTCACAAAGACGGGAAACCAGGACCGCCGAATGCAGGACTGAGGCCAGACCAGAAGACGGAACTACGTCACGCCATGAAAATAAAAAATGGGTCATGTGATGCAAATAAATGACGTCATCACACACACTGTTTCCAGCAAATTCTTTACGCGCCAGCTGCGTAATCGGTAATTCCTTCACGGACAGCTGAATAAAAATGCTACAACCTCGTTCAACTGTTTCTGCAGCAAAACACAGCGGCCTCGGTGTGAATCACACCAAAAATATATAAAAATCACTTCCGTTTTGTTGCCTGTGAAATTCTCATTCTGCGAGGCACAAGACAGGGCCGGCCGATTTCTTTCGGATTTTCGTTTTCTTACCGACGAGAAGGAATCTGAAAATTCGTGCAACGTCTGCGAATATGTTCGTTTCCTCCTCGCGAGAGATCGATCATTTCGATTGTAAGGACGTAACCTGTTCCTGTTATTTGTTCGGTTTTTCTGTCCGTAAGATGAGTAAGTGATTACATTGCCAATTGCCGTAAATGTCGCGTCATTCGCTAGAAAGTTGATAAGCAATTTGAAAATGTTACCAGTTTGCCTCTTGAAAGAGACGTGCCGAAGACCAGTGGTCAGATCCGGGCGCTGATGAAAAGCGCGGCTCGAAAGTTGGCGCGATTATTGACAGTCGATGGCGCTTCGTCGAGGGAAGAATTCTGCGGACTTATTTAGCTTGCCCCTCCTTTCCCATTAGGTCTTGCAATAATGGGAAGTCCCAAAATGTTACGATTCGCAACGCGCATGCGCCTTGGTATCCCGTCCCCACACATTCCATCACTCGCATCGAGTCTTGAATTTGAGAGATCGCGGAGAATCCTTTCTTCCTCATCGCTCGAGCTGACAACCCTGGATTTCTGCCTTTTTCCGCTCAAATGCTCGCGCACGGCCGCGCGATTCAAGGCCTCGCGTTAAACGCGAGGGAGTGGTGACAAATGGCCGTGACGTTGCGATACGCGAATGTCTGACGACGGCTTCGAAACGATGGCTAGCAGGGACCACGCGT